TTGACCACTTCCCAATGATCATTTCTCCGATTGAATCGAACCACCATAAAAAGTACCACCAAGTTTGGATTGATCACAATAGAAGGACCACAAGACTTGCTCAATGTAGTGAGAAATGTATAACTATCCTGCTCTTCTATCACTCATAGTCTCCATCCTTGCTATTTTCCTTTTAACTCCTAAATCGTTTATCACAAACTCATTCTCTGGAAGCTTCTTCAAGTTGTCCTTCTTAGAATCAACATCACCAGAAATTTCTTCCTCGGGTTAAACAAGGGATTCCTCACGTATATGATATTCCATTCCACCCCGCAGTTCCTTATTTATCATAAAGCTGTGTGGGGTTTCTATTTCAATCTCCACCTTTTGGCTAGCATCATGATTGTTCCCCACAACACTTGTACAACCTCCTCTCTAGTTACACATATCAAATTTAAAGGTCACATCTATGCTAATAAAGAATTTTGGAGTTTTTCTTTCTTCTGTACACCACAGACAATGACGTTTCCTTCCAGATGTATATCGTAGAAGTATGCACTTCATTATCCTCGGCTCCAGTTTACCATCATTCACCAGAGCGTAAAAAGGGCATCCAAACATTCGTAAACCACAATTATAGGAGGTTTACCCAGACCACAACACTTGAGGAGTTTTACGATCAATCACACTTGATGGAGATCTATTCGCCAGATAGCAAGCAGTATTGACTGCTTTCACCAACAATTTCCAATAAATTAGTAGACAATCACATGAATTAATCATGCTCCACCAGTGTTTGGTTCATCTGTGTGACAACCCGAAATCTCTGTTTGTAAGTCAGCTCGATCAATAGAAAGTCAGACTTGTTTCTGCTTCGGTTTTACAGTGTTTAGGATCAGTTTGAGAGTTTTTATGCCTAGTACACTCAAGGACTGTGTGTTAGGAAGTGTTAGCTTGAGTTCGTTGGGTTACATTCGAGCTGGAAACATCATCTAGGGATGTTCATGGCCGCAAACTAGGTTCACGGCTGTAAACCCATGTTGGGCCGTGAACCCCTCTCCATATATATATATATATATATATATATATATATATATATATATAATATATATATATATATATATATAATATATATATATATATTTCCTTCATTTTTCCTCATTTCTTCCCTCCTTGGCCGAAAACTCCTCAAGACTCATCCAACAAAAGCTCTCTTTTCACCCCACAAACGTAAGTAATTAATCCATTTTCACTTGTTATTCATCTTATTCATGTAAAGTGCTTCATATTCATCCATTGATTCATCACTTTCATCTCCATCTTTATGATCTTGAAGAGTTCACGGCCGTGAACCCTTCATAGATGGGTCGTAAACCCTTCAAGTGTTCATGAGTGGGTCGTGAACCCTTCATGTGTTCATGGGCCGTGAACACATCTTGGGCCGTGAACCTATGGTGGTTGGCCGTGAACTCGTTTTTGTCCCTCATTTTTCAGTTCTAACACTTCATTGTAAGTGTTTCTTACATTCTAAGGTTGTTTCCTATGCTTGTTAGTTGTTATAGACACTAATTGTAGGCCTATACATGTTAATATGTGCTTAATAGGATCGTATTGTGCTCGGGACCTCACTTAGCATACCAAGTATCCTATCGTTGTCGTTCATCCAAGTCACTCATAATCAGGTGAGTTCATACCCCTACATTTTCCGAGCTTTTAATGTTTTAAGGGGGGGGGGGGGGGGGGGATACAAGTAAAACACAAGAAATCGGCGTTTAAAAATATAATGTAGTTATTATATTTCCTTATCATTAACACACTTTTGAACACATAACTTGCTAAATATGAATCTTGAACAGAGTCACCATTTTCATAAAGATACATGTTAATAATAAAAAAGGGTTTTCATAGTTTTATTCATGAATTCGTTTAGAGAACTACATTGTGAGACACGACTTCTGGGAAGTCTACTCCTTAGGAACCAGAGTCTCCTGGAGGGAGAGCGTACGTTTGTGTATAGATCTATACGGGACTGACAATCCCGCACCCTGACTATTAGCTACAGTCAACCGAGGGTGACAAACGTCATTTCAGTTTTCGACGTCCGAAGTACGTCGTATTGGTTATCGTCCATTAGCATGGTTATAAGAACTTACAGGGGAAACAACGACTCGTTCACATAATAATATACTTAAAAATCAATCATCAGGGTTAATAACTAGGGGATTACTTATTATATGCATCAGGATTATATGAAATTAACATCCGACATGCAGTGGGATGTGTGACTTCCGCCTCATTCCCTGTTCCTTGTTTGGTTGTGGGCTTAGGTCAGAATCACCCAATCGATTGTCTGTTCGATTTAAATTTCTATAATTCGTATGTACTAAGTGATCACAGGAGGATATTAACAACACTTTCAGTTTACAAGACAATACATTTTCGACTAGTCATATTTTAAGTAATAAAACTATTATACATTACTGGCGGTAGCCAGGGTTTTCAATCAGAACAATGCATAAACAACATAAGTATGGTAAATACTTGTACTCTTCAGTTTTAGAACAGTTAATTCAATAACTTACACTTAGGAAAAATATAGGATTTTCCAGGATGAACATCGGTACTTTACAAACAATTGGTTTATTATTTAAGTAACGAATATTCAGTATTACTTCTATAATTCCTTAGCTTATGCTTTCGGGTTACGTATGAAGAATATCCGATAGACTGTGGAATGTGTGGTTTCCGCCTCACTCCCGGTTCCTTTTTTGGTTGTGGGTTTAGGGCAGATCCACACATTTAACTATCTGTTCGATATTGGTTTCACTACTAGAAAAACAGCCTTTTACGATGCGCAATTAATGACACACACTGATAGAGGACGCGCATTTGTGCGGGCCTTAAAAATTAATGTCAGTTTTCCAAAATTTGAAGGATAGAAGACACTCATTTTTGCGCGCCCTAACATTAGTGTCCAAAAAAAAAAAAAAACACGGAGCGCACCTATCATATGAAGTGTGTCGTGTAAGGGTGTCGTTTTATATTTTTTAGGAAGCGCGTTCTCCAGTTTTTTAATAGACTACGGGGGAATGAAATCCCAAAAAAAATTAAACACCCCGCCTCTTTTTCTCCTTCTAAAATCCTCTACCAAATTAAGAACCCTAAAATAGACTAAACACATTTTCGATCATTCCTCTTCGATCAACCCAATCGATCGAACATACCAACAGCTTATCTCCTACTAATACTCTCCTCTTCCTATTCATTCTCCAAATTTGATTTCTCTCTTCCTCCCTCAAATCCCCCAAATCAGTGATGTCTTGTAATCTTATTCCTCCCTAAAATCGACGTACGTTATATAATTCGAGCAATTTTTCTTAATGCATCAGATTATCGTATAGTTAGAGCTAGTTGTCTTCTGTTGCATCGTAGTTCTAGCCAAGAACAGTCAATCTCGTCTTCTTCTTCTCGTCAAACAGGTATTCTTCATCTCATATTTCTGGCATTAGGGCTCTTTGGTTGGCGTCATTCTTTTGTTACTGATTCCATATCTGTGTTCCCAAGTAGAAAAGCTTCTCATATGCAAACTGGCCCAACATAAGGCCCGCTTGCAACTGGATCTAACCCGACTGGACCCGGCGTCTGCATCTCAACGGCCAAACCCACAGTTATCGTAATCGCCGCACCAACAAAATGGCAGCAGGATCCGATTCCGATTCTGCACCCCCCCTCCGCCAACAGCTTCTCGTCCGCCGCTAAGGACGGCATGACGGTGGAGGAGTGCGAGACTATGATCCAAAGAAGCCTTAGAAGTAATTCCGCATAACTTTTTCAGATTCTTAGTGTTTAGGGTTTATAAGTTTTTTATTATTTTTGCATCGTAATCACTGAATCCGCCATAAATATCATCTCCATCGGTGAAGTTTTTACGGGAGCATTTGGAGAAAAGTGGATGTAATATCGAGTTCAAGTCCATCGATTTATTTGTTGGTGTTGCTTCAATCTTAGGTCAGAGAATTGAAATGGATCTGACTGAAGAGATCGAAAACGAAGGTGGCATATGGGTTTTGGAGCAGAAGATCGATCAGCCAATGGACGAAGAAGCTGGTAGGCTCAAGAATATGTACAGAGAAAAGGTAACTTTATGCCACTTTCTTTTTCTCAACGCTTTTGCTTTTTGGGGTTAATCTCTCTCATGAATACAGCTTTCGTAGATTCTATTAATTTTCTTTTCCATATGGGTCAATCTTGTTTCTGTTTTCGTCATTCCTTTTTCTTGTAGTCAGCAGGTTGATTATGGATTCAACTCAACTTTTCTTTTTTTCTTGTTGTATAAAAGGAACAAAACTATTCACAGACTTTTGACTTTGATTGTGTTTGTTGATGCAGAAATTCTCAGTTATATTACTTCTTTGTCTTGCATTTCAAAGTCTTGGAGTTGTGTATGGAGATTTGGGAACTTCTCCCCTATACGTATTCTACAATTAATACATTTCCTAAAGGAATTGATAATACAGAGGATGTTATCAGGGAACTTTCCTTGATCATATACTCTCTTACTCTTGTGTCACTCATTACATATGTTTTTATCGTCTGTCGTGCAAATGACAATGGTCAAGGTACCTATTTCTCTACTTTTATTTACTTATTTATCTATCTTTTATCATCTTTCGGTTTATTATGTAATAATTTAAACACTATTGTTTGTTTAGTTTTAAATCGCACCATTATGACATGCTATATATATATATATATATATATATATATATATATATATATATATATATTTTCATGAGGCATAGTAACAATGACCATTGACATATAACATTGTTCCACATCATATTGTTGGTTAGAAGGCCTTGTTGTGGTCCCCACATGCTTGCCCTAGTGGTAAAAGGGGTAACCTACACACAATCTTCCTTTTATCAGTTTTGTAGAGATGTTTTTATGACTCAAAAACCACAAATGCCTTATCATATTTCGTTTGTTGCATAAAAGAAGGTGTGTAAGTACGTGTATTTCTCACTGAATCTGCTTGTTTCCACTTTCTGGACTTCAAATCATCAATCTGCATTGATCTTGATGGATCAATGGTATTCACTAACAGATTCCTTCTTTGTCTTTGTCTAATCCAAGTGATATCTTTCATTTCAGATTCCTTCTCCGATCCGCTTCTCCCCTCTCCTACTCCCACTTGTTCCTGTTCCACCCATAGAGAGCATTGGTATCCCAAGTGAATGTCTTTTGCTGAAGAAAATGTTTGATCATGAGTTAGAGGTATTTTAATTTTAATCATAATATATATATATATATATATATATATATATATATATATATATATATATATATATATACACTTCTATATATTATATTAATATATAATAATAAAAAATTCAGATATGAAAGTAGGTTTTGTCTAAATGTGTATGTAGGCTCCAAGGACATCGTGTGCAAGTTTAGTTAAAGGGAGGTCACAAGCTAATGCAGTTGCTCAACAAGCATTGATTGCGCATTGGTAGAGTATTGTTAAAGGCCTTGATAGTTATTCGAAGACAATGAAAGCTAACTTTGTAAGTTTTATAATCTTTTAAACTGATTCTTTTATAAAAAATTAAAAATTACTTGACTGTTTATGGATTTTTACTTTTTTAGGTACCTCCATTTTTGGTGTGCAAAGTATTCACACAGATATTCTAGTTCATCAACGTTTAGCTATTCAACAGGTAAATTGCATAAAATATGTTTATATTGTATATCAACTTATTTTTTTTTACAAAAATGCTGATGATTATATATTTTTTTTTGGTGGAAGTCTTTTGTTGAGACGTGAGTGCTGCTCGTTTAGTAATGGTGAATATGTGAAGTCAGGATTGGCTGAATTAGAACAATGGTGCTGTTATGCAACTGAGGAAGTAAGAACTTTTTATATCTTTATATATTTAAATTTTTTTTTTTTATTTTGTAGTAAATAATATTTGATTTATTTACAGTATGCGGGGACCGCATGGGATGAGTTGAAGCATATCAGACAAGCAGTTGGATTCTTGTTTATACATCAAAAGCCTAAGAAGACTTTGAATGAAATTACCAATGAACTTTGTCCCGTAAGCAAATTTATTTTAATAGTAATAAATATTTTAATTCCGTTTTTCTCTTTTATTATATTCAAGATTGTGCATTTTTGTCATTTATGCAGGTGCTTAACATACAACAGCTATACAGAATCAGCACCATGTATTGGGATGACAAATACGGGACCCACAGTGTTTCATCAGAAGTAAGTTACTACTCACATAACAAATATGAATTCCATCTCATAAAAAACTTAAATCCTAAGGGTGTTTTCGTAATTAGGTCATTTCAAATATGAGAGTCATGATGACAGAGGACTCAAACAATGCAGTCAGCAGCTCATTCTGGTTAGATGACGACTCCAGGTAAATATCTCAAAACTTGTAAAATCTTTTCAGGGGCAAAATCGTCTAAAATGGGGATATTTATTTGTGTATGATGCAGCATACCGTTCTCTGTGGATGACATCTTAAAGTCTATGCCACAAGTAGACATAGGAGAACCTCCACCTTTGATACGCGAAAATTCAGGTTTTGTGTTTTTACATCAAAGGGCAGAATGATTGATGTTTGAATAGTATAGAATATCTCTATTCAAACATGTGTATACAGAATTACAGTCAGTCTTTTTTTTTGGTATGTTGATACTCTTTTTTTGTTGTTTTTTTATTCCTGGGCAGTTTGGGTGTTTTATTATTAGTGTCTGGGGTCCAATTTATTTTGTTGGCTTCCTTTGATCCTTTTGGGGTGGGGTTAAAAGGGGGAATTTATTGATTTTTAGATGATGATATGGCAATGTTGCCAAAAGTGTGTTTTAAATGGGAGGGTGGATTAGGGTTTTTTATAGTTACAAATTGTTGGGTTACAATTTGTGGTAGTGGTAAGGTAAGGTAAGAAAGAAAAACTGTATAGTTGCATTGTGTAAATCAGTATATGACATGACACCTTCCCTAAATCAGTATATGAAAGTAATTACTTCTCAATAAATAGCCACAATTTCAAACTTCAATGCACCTGGTGTCCCTATTGCTGATATGGAGTTTCTTGACCTTTGCAGTGGTGAACAAGAGGTAATTAAGCTAGATTTGGCCAACTAATTTAATTTAAACACTTTGCATGACACCATTTGCTTTGATTATGTAGGCACTTTTACTTCTCAAGGTATTTCTAATGTCAACATTTGCTTTAACTAATTGGCTAAGTGTATTACTATATAGGAAGAAACCAAAGGTAAATCATCACTTGAATCCCTTACATCTTATTGTAGGAAAAATACACCTACTACGGTTGTTGATAATGAGCAACATTTGTAATTTAGTATTTATGACTTGTGAAGTTGGTTATAAATTTTTGGTGGTTGATTGAACCATTTTCAAGTAGCTGATTCTGGGCATGAATATGTGGAATGTGTTAGGCACAAGCTTGTAGAAGAAGAGTTGACACTGGTTGATGCATCTTCAATTCGTGAGGTTGCAAGGCTTAAAGCTACATGGAGATTGTCAAAGGAGAAATTACTCACGGGTTCCTTTTAATGTTCATGTTTTGTTGTTCTATAATAAATACTAAGCAATATTAGCAATGTATTTCATTAACTTACTATTGGAATGATTATTTGTATTTGACATATTAGTGCAATAAATTATCTTTCTTATTTATTGTATTTTATTTTGTAATATGGCACTTCTAATGTGTTATTTAATTTGAAAATATTAAATCTATCAAAATATACAATTTTTAAAACATTTAAAATTATGACACGCAAAAATATGTGTCGTCTTCCTTTATGACAGGGGTTCCATGATACACATTGCGTGTCATAAACACGCGCGTCGTAAGGTTATGACACGCAAATTCGTGTCGTCTTCATTTATAATAGGGCCTTCCTTGATACGCATTGTGTATCATAACTGCGCGTCGTAAATGCGTGTCATAAACGCGCGTCGTAAATAGACGACGCGCAAAAGCGTGTCGTCTCTCGTTATGACAGGGCCTTCCTTGACACGCATTTGCGCGTCTTCTGAGCGTTTTATGACACGCATCGCGCGTCGTAAAAGGCTGTTTTTCTAGTAGTGTTTATACATAACTAGTATGAACTAAGTAGTTATAGAAGGAATTGGTTAAATCATGCTTTCAATAAGAAAATATTGGATTTTCTGGAGGAACATTATCAATAGATTTCAAAGGACCAATACAGTTAACTTTGTAAGTACTTAGTGAATACTTCAGGGTTATATACATGAAGACCCGACAACCAGTGGAATGTGTGGTCTCCGCCTCATTTCCTGTTCCTTGTTTGGTTGTGGGCTTGGGGCAGAACCACACAATCGACTGTTTGTTCGATCTGGATTGTATATGATTTGTACACACTAAGTACTCGCATGAGGAACTAGTAAGAATCATTTATACTTAACATTTATTACATCAGACAATATAAGGTTTTCTGGAGAAACACAATGCACTTTTCGAAAGAACATAGAACCTGTTTTCTAAAAGAAAACGCTTATGAAGTCACCAGCTTAATGCTGATACTCTTTCAAAACCTACTTGTATTCTCAGGACATAAGTAGACAGGTACACGCACCGGATTCAAGAAGATGGAGCATAGTAACTTCGAGTCTTTACTTGTTATTTTACTTTTGAAGTCAGTATTATATGAATCAAATGTAATGTAAACATTATGCTATTAATACAATGGTTGTTGTTGCTTTGATTACTATTATTCAATTGTTGTGACACTATACATGACGTCCTCCGCCCCCGAACGTTTCCACCGTTCCGGTTTGGGGGTGTGACAGATTGGTATCAGAGCATTGTTTATGGTGAACTCAATATATCAACCAGTAAAATATATACAACTATAAATACAACCGGGCCGGAGTGCTCTGATTAAAAGTATACTTTTAAAATATATGTATTTTTCGAGAAGTATACTAATAAGCATACATATTAAGAACAAGTATCACAATAAGAACAATTAAGAACAAAACAAACAAAAGTATTTAGATGTTGGACACTACAGTCAAACCTACGCAGTTATGTAATCATATCTGAAATAAATATAACCTGATCAACTATATTTATTTGAGATACGACCAACATGTGTTTGGGAGTGATTGTGGTGTTGCAACGAGTCTAAAACTTACCTAACTCTATATACAAAAGATCCCTAGAACAAAACATAAAGGTAAAATACTATAGAAGTATTTTAGGCACTATAACAAACATAAATGAAAAACTAAAAGACCTTTACTGGCAGGTCTATAGCTGCAAAGTGCATGCTTCCAGGGTTATTTATAACTAGGATCTTATAGAGTTAGAATTGGTGATCTTTAATCTACTACCTGTTCCTTGTTTGGTTGTGGTTTTGGAGTAGGATCATCTATTCAAAGGTCTATTTGATATTGGTTATATACAGCTTGCATGCACTAATTGACTATAGGAGGACCCAGTTTGGATCATTAATAACTTCAGAAGAAATGTTTTAATTAATCTTATAATATTCTTTAGACTTTCCAATTCTCGTACGAACAACCTAGATAGAAATAGCTACTCCACTACAACCACCAATAGAGAAGTCAAGGAGGAGCTAGAGAGGATTCATAAAGAGGATTCTTAGAAGGAATCCTTCGAGGAGCCAAATCTTCCATCATAAAGTGGTGGAGATCAGTGATAGAACTCGAAGCATGAACTATCAAGAACAGGATACCACTCACGATGCGCGTTAAGTGGTAGGGCACCATATACGTCACACTAATAATTAACTAACTAATTCAATCTAGTGAGTTAGTGATTACACTGCTCACACTATGTGTCCGGCTTATCGCCTTTATCATATCAACTAGTAACAGTAAACCAGATCCCAGAACTTCATTAAGAGGGTAGTCACTATCAAAAATTCATAAGTCTATGTTGCATAGACCTCTGTTATGAATTGCTCCAAGAGTCAGAACATGATGCACTCATAATTAAGATAACTTCGATTCAGATAACACTCGACTTGTAACCACTAGGGACTTACCCTCGTTTCGTCTTTTAAACTTTTATAGCAGACAGATGCCACCGAAGAAGTTGAACAAAAACAGAAACAACACACCACCACCGCCACCCCCTCAATATGACCCGATTGTCTTCCAGGTGGCAGTAACAGCCACAGTGACAGCTGTCATGACTCAAATTTGCGCAAGTGGTACCGGTGGATCGGGTAGTGGTACCAATAGCTCTAACCACGGATACACAAGGGAGTGTTCGTACAAAGATTTCATGACTTGTGGACCCAAATCCTTCGATGGGAGTGGGGGAGTCATCGCTCTAATGCGATGGTTCGAGAAAATAGAATCGATTTTTGAATTGTGTGCGTACCCAGAAGGGAGCAAAGTGAAGTTTGTTGCCTGCACCTTCTTCGACAGAGCCCTTACATGGTGGAATGGCCATGTCAAGTCACTGACTCTTCCAGTGGCAAACGCAATGGGCTGGGTCAATCTAAAAGAAATGATGCTGGAAGAGTACTGCCCGAGGGGCGAAGTACAGAAATTAGAGCAAGAGCTATGGAATCTTACCATGGCAGGCTCAGACATTATAGCATACACCGATAGATTCAGCAATTTGGTTGCACTATGCCCTGGGATGGTTACCCTAGAGAGCAAGAAGGTAGAGAGATACATTTGGGGACTACCTTCTCCAATCCAAGGAAACGTGTTAGCAGCGAAACCTCTTACGTTTGACAGTGCCAAATGTCTGGCTCGAATATTGGTGGATTATGGAATCCGCCAAGGCATAATGGACCCCATTCCTGAGTCAACCAAAGGAGGTGATGATAAACAAAAGTCCGAGAGCAGGAAGAAGAGACAATCAACACAAGAGCCCTCCGATGGACAACAGAGGGGTACGACCTATGCTGCCACAACACCAGCCACTCTAGCACCCGACATTCGTTATGCTGGAACCCTTCCTAAATGTAATAAGTGCAACTTTCATCATACCGAAAAGTTTCGGAAGATGTATTGCAAGAACTGCCTCAGAAGGGGACACACCATCCATTTCTGTAGGGCACCAGCACGACCAATCTCTCAGGTCCCATTTGAGGAAGTAAGTCAGACATGCTACGAATGTGGCGAAACAGGGCACTACAGGAGAGATTGTCCGTTGTCCAGAAATCTTGGTGAAGAGGGAAGAGAGCTAATGATCACTGCAGGAGAGTCTATCCCGGAACCACCTAAGAACAACGGTACGTTTCCCAACTAGACCCTAACTATAATAATTTCTTCCTCGTTTAAGCAAAGCACATAGTTTATGTAGAAACTAAATACTCTTTCTGGTAGGCTATAATGACTTAGTGTAAACATTAGGGCCATATATAATTAAGAACCAATAGACTTAGAGTGCGTTATTCCGCCTTATTTCCTGTTCCTTGTCTGGTTGTGGATTTAGGGCAGAGTCACTCAGTCGACTATCTTATCAATCCTAATTATATATGACTTGTAGGCACCAAGCGATTCTAGAGGGACTGGATAGGGATCATAATATCAAGTATCATTCACTAGAACAATCTTTCAGTTAGTACACACTTAATGCCGTACAAAACATTCGCAGTAGTAATAACAAGGTCAAAACAGAAAGCACTAGAAAACATACACACACAGATGCACCTAGTCTAACTGAGTACACACTAACTTAACACATGATCCGACGACGTCATCTCGCCTAGTATAACTGAGTCCACACTATACCAAACCTATGTGTCTCCGAGGAGACCCTTTGCCTTAAACCGACCGAATAACAAAACTCTCGTCACTCATAACGACAAACTAGATGCAAACCTCGAAATTGTCTCTCGCTTCAAACCTCCGAAGTACTCATGCGAGGAGCATGGTATCCTCCCGTAACCTTCCCTATGTATTCCCAGCAGAACTTTGTAAATACCATTCGCGCAGCAAGTCAAGTTCAAGCACAGAGGTTAGGGACAGATACGGTTAGCCTATCAGTGTTAAATGTACACGCGAGGGTGGTATATAATTAAGATTCTACGGACTTAGGATGTGTGTTTCCGCCCTATCTCCTGTTCCTTGTCTGGTTGTGGACCTGGGGCAGAACCACCCATCTGACCGTCTTATCAATCTTAATTATATACGACTTGTGTACACAAGGCGATGATAGATGAACCAGGTATGAGTCCTACCATAAACTTCAGGACAAAGGCTGCTCAGAACCACGAAAGGACATCCTACCAGTTGGATGAACGTGGTCAAGCAAGTCAAACCTACACACTCGCCACAGGTCAGAACAGCAGATCCAACAGTGAGGATCCGCTGAGACACCCAGCGAGGATCTGAATTCACTGAAGAACGAGTACCCGCCTCTTTTCCTTATCCTTAACCAAACACTCGGAATCCGAATTTCGGGACGAAATTCCCTCTATCGGGGGGGATGATGTGACAACCGAAATCTCTATCT